AAAACTTATTACATGTTCAAAGACTTTAGTTCACAAATACACAACTGAATAGAACTTACGCATCTCCGATTTTATATCTACATTTGAGTGAGGTGGAAGGGGTGATGTGGCATTAACACAAGACAGAACAAAATGTGGTATTATTAGGGTATTAATTTCATCAACACAAGACAGAACAAGAGTATTAATAGGGTATTAATTTCATCAACACAAGACAGAACACGAAACAATGGATATTGAATAGAAGTGTTTGTAGAAAGCCTATTGGTCCATATTTCTTGATGCTTCTATATTGGAGCGGAGTCTTGAGGTGGGTAGAATATAGTTGTGCAATAATTGGCTGTTGATTGCTGGTGTTGACTTCTTGATGTGTAGTGCCTCGCAAACGTCAAGCCGCCTGCTATCTCTGTATCTATCGATGATTTCTGTGTTGTTTACTAGGACTTCTCTGGCGATGGTTTGGTAGTGGGAAGAGAATCTCTTCCCAACACAAGGATTTCTCTGGCGATGGTTTGGTTGTGGGAAGAGAATCTCTTCCCACAACCAAACCATCGCCAGAGAAATCCTAGTAAACAACACAGAAATCATCGATAGATACAGCGATAGCAGGCGGCTTGACGTTTGCGAGGCACTACACATCAAGAAGTCAACACCAGCAATCAACAGCCAATTATTGCACAACTATATTCTACCCACCTCAAGACTCCGCTCCAATATAGAAGCATCAAGAAATATGGACCAATAGGCTTTCTACAAACACTTCTATTCAATATCCATTGTTTCGTGTTCTGTCTTGTGTTGATGAAATTAATACCCTATTAATAATCTTCTTCTGTCTTGTGTTGATGAAATTAATACCCTATTAATACCACATTTTGTTCTGTCTTGTGTTAATGCCACATCACCCCTTCCACCTCACTCAAATGTAGATATAAAATCGGAGATGCGTAAGTTCTATTCAGTTGTGTATTTGTGAACTAAAGTCTTTGAAAATTTAATAAGTTTTACGAAACGCGCTCGTGTCGCGTCAGACTAGAAATAAAAATGAATTTTGGAGAATTGATTTTTGATTTACCTCCAACAGTGAAGCGAAATGTACGAAAGATTGAGAAAATTCGTGTTAGAATTATTAATCTTACTTTTTCGGTCATATTTAATAATATATGTCTACAGGAAAGACTGCTACCAAAATATACTAATATATATATATATATATATATATATATATATATATATATATATATATATATATATATATATATATATATATATATATATATATATATATGTCGTACCTAGTAGCCAGAACTCACTTTTCAGCCTACTATGCAAGGCCCAATTTGCCTAATAAGCCAAGTTTTCATGAATTTATATATTTTCTCTAATTTTTTTCTTATGCAATGATAAAGCAACCTATTTCATTATGTAAGAGGTCAATTTTTTTTTATTGGAGTTAAAATTAACGTAGATATATGACCGAACCTAACCAACCCTACCTAACCTAACCTAACCTATCTTTATAGGTTAGGTTAGGTTAGGTAGCCGAAAAAGTTAGGTTAGGTTAGGTTAGGTAGGTTAGGTAGTCGAAAAGCAATTAATTCATGAAAACTTGGCTTATTAGGCAAATCGGGCCTTGCATAATAGGCTCATAAGTGAGTTCTGGCTACTAGGTACGACATATATATATATATATATATATATATATATATATATATATATATATATATATATATATATATATATATATACATATATATACATACAAGAGTTCTTACATTCTTGTACATATACATACATGACATATGGTCATGTATGTTCTTGCATTCATTACATTACGTTCTTACATTCTTGTACATATACGTACATGACACATAGTTATGTATGTATACTAATATGTACGTACACAGTCATGGATGTACACTACAGTAGACATACTTTCCAAACACATACAGTGGCATCTGCTCATGCAGATTACTAAACATAAATGTATAAGAATTTTGGCGCTCTGCTAACTACCCTAAAGTGTTAAACTATTTAATACGCGTTACCACAAAAGTATCTAACCTATTATTTGTGGTACTAAACTTGTCGTTACTTTATAATACTTTTTTTTTTAGTAACGTTGGAGTACCTTGTAATAAGCAAATTCACAAGGGCCGTGATGAGGGTTCGAACTACGCTCGGGATGTTCCTAGATGCGTCTTAGTCAATTGTCTAAGTGATAACATGATATATCACGATATCTTGTGAAACAGAGATAACTGCTTGTTGCCTGCTTGATGCTTGCCTGCTCTCTGCCTGCTGCTTGCTTGATGCCTGCTTGCTGCCTGCCTGCCTGCTGCCTGCCTGCCTGCCTGCCTGCCTGCCTGCCTGCCTGCCTGCCTGCCTGCCTGCCTGCCTGCCTGCCTGCCTACCTACCAGCCAGCCTGCCAGCCAGCCTGTCTGCCAGCCAGCCAGCCAGCCAACCAGACAGCCAGCTTGCTTTCTGTCTCAAGTAAATCGATCAGCAGTAGTGGGCAAGGTTATAAGAAAATGGAGAGTCGCATCGTGGTAAAGGGAAAACTGTTGTATTCATACCAGGTGAGAGTTTTTGTAGTAGACAAGTAACGCGACATTCACTCTCTCTCACTCGTTCCCAAGGTAGACCTGTATAGGTTTATCGCCCCCGCTGCCGGGTGTAAAAATGCCCGCAATAAAACTGTCACGTCGTCAGCACCAATATACAAAGTGGGAGATCTGCGCACCCTTCAACAAATGTTTTCTGGAGCGTCCGGTGTGAATGGCCATGTACCCACTTCGGTCGATTTACAATGCACATAAGAATCGCTGGCAGCCAGTAACTCGTCCCTCTCAACCACGCCGAAAACAGCGGAATTCAATGTAATCAAATGTAATCAGCGCCAATATATATAACGATAACCATCGCCTTTCATCAAATAGAAAATTGTCGAAGAGGCGGTGAGTGGTATGCTCTAGGACAAGCAGTGAGGGCGGCACATTCGCCCCTGCGTCCCTTGTCCCATGGGCTCGGAATCGAGTGCCTCGACTTGGGGGTCATTTTTCACGTGTAATCAGTGAAGAGCCCGGAGTGAGAGAAGTCTTGTAGAGATGCCGTATGTAAATTCCACCCACCTGATTACCATAAGCGAGCCCGGTGTCCTGCCTTTCCGGTCCGGTCCTGCAGACTGCCTGGCGAACACCGCGCGCTCCAGGGGGGGCAGGGGTGCCTTGTTAACCCCTTCACGGGGAAACACAAACTAAAATGGGTAGTTGGGAGAGCAAAATAGGGAGAGCGGGGGAAAAAAAACAGAAAATAGAAAAAGTGTTGTGTAAAGAGAGAGAATAATAATTTACATAGTCGATGATCCGCCCCTCCATCCCCACCCAACCCCATCCTATCCTCTCCCACCCATCCACCCCATCCATGCCGAGATGTGTCTCTTCCTCTCCTGGGGTGCGCCCATGTTTGGCTATGCGCAATGAGGCCTGCGCGCCTACCTCCTCCTTCCCTTCCCTCCCTCTCCTCTTACCTCACACTCGCTCCCTCATGAATTTTACGTAATTTATGAGTTATTTCTATTGTGGCTTGTGAAATGGTCGAGTCTTGTGTCGCTAGTGAACGAGTGAACGTGTGGGCAGCCAATATCCCCCTCCCTCACCCCCCCCAGTTCCCTAGGTAATTATAAATGGAAATTAGAGTCGTTCAGTCCTTACCTTTTTTCCTTAATATTTTTTTGTTTGTTTGATTGTGGTGATTGAGATTTAGAAGGCAGACAAGTGGGAGGAGAGCGGCGGCGCAGATGAGCATTAGCATCTAAGTATCTACATTTGGGTTGTTTATATGAGGCGAGTTGCCGTTTGTTAAGCCTTTCATCTGGGATTAGGAAGTGATGCTCTCTCTCTCTCTCTCTCTCTCTCTCTCTCTCTCTCTCTCTCTCTCTCTCTCTCTCTCTCTCTCTCTCTCTCTCTCTCTCTCTCTCTCTCTCATGACACGACTCTCTTGTAAGCGTTAAAAATAAATAAATTCTCTCAAGTGTGTCGTCACAGGTGTTGGAGGCTGCGAGGGATGAGGGCCTCACGAGGTGTAAACACAGCAAGTGCTCTCCCTCCTTCTCTCTCTCTCTCTCTCATCTACACTTTATCTCACACGCTTCTTCCTTGCCTCATTTTTGTTTATCTTTCCCTCTCCGCTGTATCCTTCATTCCTTGTTTCATATTATAATGCCTTTCTCTCGCTTTCTCTCTCTCTCTCTCTCTCTCTCTCTCTCTCTCTCTCTCTCTCTCTCTCTCTCTCTCTCTCTCTCTCTCTCTCTCTCTCTCTCTCTCTCTCTCACGTCATTACTCTATTGAAACTGTTAGTTTAGAGCTGTTGTGTTACCGTCTGTTCGCTCGAAGACTCAAATGATCGCTGATGGAGTGTGTGTATATATATATATACCGGCTCCCTCCTGGAGTTAATGAATGTTCATCTTATACCCTTCTCCTCCTCCTCTTCCTCCCTCTCCCCGTCCCACTCCCCTTCCCCATTTTCCCAAACATCCCTTTTCCTTCCCTCCCCCCAACCCCAACCCTCCAGTATCCCGTAGTTGACATCGAACTCGAACCAGCTCCCCACCGAGTGATCACAGATGACCCTTCCGGCCTTGCCGCCGCCTCCGGGAAGGGACATCCGATCGTCGGGAATCAACACGTGAACAAATGGGAGCGGACGCGGGGTCAAACAAGGAGATGTTTTGAGGCGCCGCTATTGATGAGTACACATGTTGTACCGGGTCAGGTTGCTTGAGGTTAGCAGGGTTGGCAGGGAATGGGGTGGAGTGGGAGGGTAATGGAAAGTGAGAGTGTCAAGAGGTGACATAGTTGGGGGTTGCTGTGTGGATAGTAAGGGAGGGGGGGTTAGAGTGATAGAGTGAGGGGGGCTAGGAAGATCACGAAGGAAGGGAATTGGGTGATGGAAATAGAGAGGAAAGGGGGGGGGGAAGCTGTGATTGGACGGGCACCGCTGGAGTGTTGGCAAGGGTGCGGTACAAGAAGGGTGCGGTACAAGAAGAGTGCGGTACAAGAAGGGTGCGGTACAAGAAGGGTGCGGTACAATAAGGGCGCGGTACAAGAAGGGTGCGGTACAAGAAGGGTGCGGTACAAGAAGGGTGCGGTACAAGAAGGGTGCGGTACAAGAAGGGTGCGGTACAATAAGGGCGCGGTACAAGAAGGGTGCGGTACAAGAAGGGTGCGGTACAATAAGGGCGCGGTACAAGAAGGGTGCGGTACAAGAAGGGTGCGGTACAATAAGGGCGCGGTACAAGAAGGGTGCGGTACAAGAAGGGTGCGGTACAATAAGGGCGCGGTACAAGAAGGGTGCGGTACAAGAAGGGTGCGGTACAATAAGGGCGCGGTACAAGAAGGGTGCGGTACAAGAAGGGTGCGGTACAATAAGGGCGCGGTACAAGAAGGGTGCGGTACAAGAAGGGTGCGGTACAAGAAGGGCGCGGTACAAGAAGGGTGCGGTACAAGAAGGGTGCGGTACAAGAAGGGTGCAGTACAAGAAGGTTGCGGTACAAGAAGGGTGCGGTACAAGAAGGGTGCGGTACAAGAAGGGTGCGGTACAAGAAGGGTGCAGTACAAGAAGGGTGCAGTACAAGAAGGGTGCGGTACAAGAAGGGTGCAGTACAAGAAGGGTGCGGTACAAGAAGGGTGCGGTACAAGAAGGGTGCGGTACAAGAAGGGTGCAGTACAAGAAGGGTGCGGTACAAGAAGGGTGCGGTACAAGAAGGGTGCGGTACAAGCAGGGTGCGGTACAAGAAGGGTGCGGTACAAGAAGGGTGCGGTACAAGAAGGGTGCGGTACAAGAAGGGTGCGGTACAAGAAGGGTGCAGTACAAGAAGGGTGCAGTACAAGAAGGGTGCGGTACAAGAAGGGTGCAGTACAAGAAGGGTGCGGTACAAGAAGGGTGCGGTACAAGAAGGGTGCGGTACAAGAAGGGTGCGGTACAAGAAGGGTGCGGTACAAGAAGGGTGCGGTACAAGAAGGGTGCGGTACAAGAAGGGTGCGGTACAAGAAGGGTGCGGTACAAGAAGGGTGCGGTACAAGAAGGGTGCGGTACAAGAAGGGTGCAGTACAAGAAGGGTGCGGTACAAGAAGGGTGCAGTACAATAAGGGCGCGGTACAATAAGGGCGCGGTACAAGAAGGGTGCGGTACAATAAGGGCGCGGTACAATAAGGGGCGGTACGCGGTACAATAAGGGTGCGGTACAATAAGGGCGCGGTACAATAAGGGCGCGGTACAATAAGGGCGCGGTACAATAAGGGCGCGGTACAATAAGGGTGCGGTACAATAAGGGCGCGGTACAATAAGGGCGCGGTACAATAAGGGCGCGGTACAATAAGGGCGCGGTACAATAAGGGTGCGGTACAATAAGGGCGCGGTACAATAAGGGCGCGGTACAATAAGGGCGCGGTACAATAAGGGTGCGGTACAATAAGGGCGCGGTACAATAAGGGCGCGGTACAATAAGGGCGCGGTACAATAAGGGCGCGGTACAATAAGGGCGCGGTACAATAAGGGTGCGGTACAAGAAGGGTGCGGTACAATAAGGGCGCGGTACAAGAAGGGAGCGGTACAAGAAGGGTGCGGTACAAGAAGGGTGCGGTACAATAAGGGTGCGGTACAAGAAGGGTGCGGTACAATAAGGGCGCGGTACAATAAGGGTGCGGTACAATAAGGGCGCGGTACAATAAGGGCGCGGTACAATAAGGGCGCGGTACAATAAGGGCGCGGTACAATAAGGGCGCGGTACAATAAGGGCTCGGTACAATAAGGGCTCGGTACAATAAGGGCGCGGTACAAGAAGGGCGCGGTACAAGAAGGGTGCGGTACAAGAAGGGTGCGGTACAATAAGGGTGCGGTACAATAAGGGCGCGGTACAATAAGGGCGCGGTACAATAAGGGCGCGGTACAAGAAGGGCGCGGTACAAGAAGGGTGCGGTACAATAAGGGTGCGGTACAATAAGGGCGCGGTACAATAAGGGCGCGGTACAATAAGGGCGCGGTACAATAAGGGCGCGGTACAATAAGGGCGCGGTACAATAAGGGCGCGGTACAATAAGGGTGCGGTACAATAAGGGCGCGGTACAAGAAGGGTGCGGTACAAGAAGGGTGCGGTACAATAAGGGTGCGGTACAATAAGGGCGCGGTAGGGCGCGGTACAATAAGGGCGCGGTACAAGAAGGGTGCGGTACAAGAAGGGTGCGGTACAATAAGGGCGCGGTACAATAAGGGCGCGGTACAATAAGGGCGCGGTACAATAAGGGCGCGGTACAATAAGGGTGCGGTACAATAAGGGCGCGGTACAATAAGGGTGCGGTACAATAAGGGCGCGGTACAATAAGGGCGCGGTACAATCAGTAGAGAACAAGAGTGACAGGGAAATAAACCCAGTGATTAAAGTTTTACTATCGCCACAGCTATCTTCGTCACAGTGAGAGGAGAGACCACAGAGTGACCTACCTTGAGGTTACCTTGAGGTGTTTCTGGGGCTTATCGTCCCCGCGGCCCGGTCGTCGACCAGGCCTTCACGGAAGGCCTGATGTGGCCCCGTGGCGTCCCACGAGGAACACTACCGGGACCGCTCTTATTCCTAATGTATGTGAATGACCTTCCAGTGTCAGGAGAGTAGTAGCACTAAGAACCGAAGTAGTGGAGAATAACTCTATTCACAGCCATAAATGAATATATTCAACGTAATATAACACATTCCAATAGGCTCTGGAACCTATACACCAATAGATTAAATAAGGTTGAGAGGCAGAACCCGGGAGCTGTTGCTCATCCCTTTCAGAAAAACATCGACATGAGTACAACTACACAAGTACCTTCAGGGTGATGAGAGAGGAGAGTCTTGACTTTCATTTGAACAGCGGGACGCCTGATTCTCACATTGTTCTGGGGGGAGAGATCACTCCCCTTCCCCTGTCACGGGAGAGAGAGCACTCCCCCCTGTCACGGGAGAGAGAGCACTCCCCCTTGTCACGGGAGAGAGCACTCTCCCCCCCCCCTGTCACAGGAGAAAGCACTCTCCCCCCTCCCTGTCACAGGGGAGAGCTTTCTCTCCCCCCAAAAGTGTCACAGGAGAAAGCACTCTCCCCCTCCCTGTCACAGGGGAGAGCTTCCTCTTCCCCCACTGTCACAGGAGAGAGCACTCCCCCCTGTCACAGGAGAGAGCACTCCCCCCCCCCCTGTCACAGGAGAGAGCACTCCCCCCCCCCCTCCCCCCTGTCACAGGAAAGGCTAGAGCCGGCAGAATACTCCAGCTTGACATGTTTGTTGTGTTGGGTTGGCAATACTGAAGTAGCCAGAAGGAGGGGGGGGGCAGGACCGAATAAATGTTGATAAATGATGCAGTTATTAATAAGAGAGAAGATAGAGAATAATAGAAAAGAGAGAAAGAATAACATAGATGACAGAGAACAAAGTTATTTCGACATCGAGACAGAGAGCTCGGGCAGCTAAACCTGGTTCAGTAAGGAGGAAAAAATTATATATATATATAATATCTGAACAAGAAACAAAAAATAAACACAAGTTAAATAATGTTTAATGTTCGCCATTTTTAGTTTGTGCAAATCATCACTCGTCAGCCCCTACTCTGGTCCACGCACTCACGCACTCAGAGATGAGATGTATCCACATACACCCTTGAAAAAATATATATATATATATATATTATAAGAAAATATCCAGTGAATCTATTTAGGTAAACTTTTTCATATTGGTAAACAAACAATCCACAATAGCGAATAAAGAGAGAGAGAGAGAGAGAGAGAGAGAGAGAGAGAGAGAGAGAGAGAGAGAGAGAGAGAGAGAGAGAGAGAGAGAGAGAGAGAGAGAGAGAGAGACAGACAGACAGACAGAGACAGAGACATGTTGATGCGTATTCCCCCCAAGAGGAGACAGCACCAACTGGTCGGGAGAGTCTCCAAGAGAACGGAATGTGGATCTCTATCAAGGGGAACCTTGAGTAATATTGATGACGAAGTGGAGGCGCTCAGAGATAGTGGAGGTGGTGATATGCAGTGGAGTGCCTGGGGGCATTATTGTCCTCACGAGAGTTTGGGAAGGCATCGAGTGTTCCATTAGTGGTTCAGGTGCCAGGCACCAAGAACTCGAGTTCGATACCGGGAGACGTAGAGACAGGTTGCTGATAAGTGCACGTGAGAACTCTTACGCAAGCACGCACAAACTCACTCACTCACTCACTCACTCACTCTCTCTCTCTCTCTCTCTCTCTCTCTCTCTCTCTCTCTCTCTCTCTCTCTCTCTCTCTCTCTCTCTCTCTCTCTCTCTCTCTCTCTCTCTCTAAGAGAGAGCATGAATCAGCATGAATCCTTTTTCACCTCCTCACAAGATATCTTACAGAATTTCTGTATAAATATTATTTCAGTTCTGTCATGTAACTCATCAATTCTCAGCCATCGTTACTATCGCGACTCACCATCGAGACAACTAAATTTGGTTTTAATAGTCAGATAATTATGACCTGGAGAAAATTGGTATTGTGAAAACAAAACTTCCATGTGGTTTTCTACCTTGAGTTGTTATTCGTTCTTAACTTGCAGTGAGGACAACATTTGGATTCTTCAGATGCTGTACACAGCTAGATTATGTAGTTAGTTGAGTAAGGAGCTGTATAGGTAAGGGGACATATTTAAGATTTTAAATGTGTGAATGCAACATTGAACTAGAAACAATGGATATAAACTGGATAAGTTTAGATTTAGGTAAATACGGGGGCTCGATTTGGATTGCTTGAAGTGCAGGTTAGACGGATACATAATCTGTTCTAAGATGAAAGAACTTAATTTAATCACTAACCTGTTTCGAACACAAGAAACCCTGAGATAGGTCTTCCCTTCATATCTGATCTCAGAAATCTCTTTAATGCCCTTCGTCTTCTTGATTTAATCCTGTTCACGCCACTCTTCCTTTTTCCACTGCTGGTGGTGTTAATCCCATTTTCCTCTTGTTCTCTCACATACTTTGGTGAAACTGATCATACTCTTAATGACATACTTTAAAAAACACAAATAAGTGTTAAGTCTTCAGACATAAACAAACCTGTCTTTGGTCATGTTAGCGAATCATGCTGGTCTTCTAAGCAGGCGATGAGTCACAATAACGTGGCTGAAGTATGATGACCAGACCACACTCTAGAAGGTGAAGGGACGACGACGTTTCGGTCCGTCCTGGACCATTCTCAAGTCGATGGTCTTGAGAATCGACTTGAGAATGGTCCAGGACGGACCGAAACGTCGTCGTCCCTTCACCTTCTAGTGTGTGGTCTGGTCAACATTGGTCTTCTAAAATAATCGTTCTTGTTTCTACTCTTCACAGACGCCTTCGTGTCAAAGGGGCTCTCATACGCAACACGCCTCCTGCAAAATTAATTACTATGATGTTAAGATTAAGAAGCAGTTGCAAGAAAGCACAAAAATAAGGTTTATGCAACCAGGGTCAAGGAACGCAACTAGAGTTATAGATGTAGCTTGTGTAAGAGAGATATCTAGAGCAAGAGTGCCACTAGAGCCACTCGTGCTAGGGTGCTACTAGAGCAAGAGTGCCACTAGTATAAGGGTGCCACTAGATCAAGGGTGCCACTAGTGCAAGGGTGCCACTAGTGCAAGGGTGTCACTAGTGCAAGGGTGCCACTAGATCAAGGGTGCCACTTGAGCAAGGAATACAAGATGTGTCTCTGACTTTAGTTGCAACTAGAGTAAGGAAAGCAGCTTGAGTAAGGTCCTCGATTAAAGAACGACTAATATAGAAAACACGTTCTAGAGAAGGCACACCAATACGGCTGGGAACTTTAATTAAAAAGAAACACGACTAGACCTAGTAACATTGCCAGAGTAAGGAGCACATCTAGACCAAGAAGATATACCAGAGTAAGGAACATTGCCAGAGCACGTAGCATTACCAGAGTAGGGAACACCGCCGGCGTGCGGAACAAGGTATAGGGAACAGAGATGGGCCCTAACCACCTTAAGACGTGATTGAGAGAGACATTAGACATGCTATCGTTTGCTCGCTGTCGGGCCTCGGCCTGTGGGGCCCCTCCACTCCTTCACTCGGTTTTAGTTGGCTCCTTTTCATTTCCTATCGACTTGTGGAGTGCGTATCTTTACGGCTCACCAGCGTCTTTTGTCCAGTCTTGAGTGAAACAAAGAGAACTTTGGCGGATGTTCTGGGAATCCGTCCGGAGGAGACATGCTCTGTTGCGTGTTGGAAATATTGACATTTGGCTTCAAAATTTGGGGGTCATAGGTACTTAAGGCTGAATTTAATTATTTGAGGTTATCTGTATATTTATTAATTTATGAGGAATCTATATTACAGCTTCGGTATTATGGGTATTTGACGTTGTCAGGTGATTCGGAAATCGAAGTCGTAGTCGTGGAGCGAGGAACCGGACGGGCTCCGTGTGTTGGGCTCCGTGTACCTTTGCGTTGATTCCCGCAGTGAGCGTGGCATAGCGGCCACCAGCCATAGCGGCCACCAGCCACGCTGTGTGACACAGCTCTTGCATCTCCCGTCGCTTCCTCCCTCGTCTGTACTGTGGCTCCTCCTCCTCCTACCAACCTCTGGGTGGCTGGCTCGCAGCGGCGGCCCCTCCCGGACCTTGCCAAATACTGCTTGTGTGTCATTAGCTACAGTCTCGCATGTGGGAACCGACCTGTGAGATTTATATTTATTTAATTTATATGAATTTATATTTACGTTAATTTATATACTTCGATAGCAATTTGTATAATGATAAGTGGACTGTATTTCTGCAATAATCTCATAATCTCACAAATCGATCCTCTACACATTAGGGGGGGTTATTATATTAATATATATGCAGCCAATCAAACTACAGTAATAGCTACATACATTGATGAGGTTCCTTATCTTATAGTACAGCAGGTTAGTCCACCAGGTATAACTAGGGTGTAGACACCAAATTATCCTCTTTGAGGTAGCTTCCATCACCCAGTAACTGGTGCACATAATCTTGCATCCTCGTCTTGACCTGTCAAAAGTGCGCTAGCTGTGAAGCCAGAATCCTATATATGACAAGTATATCAGAGAAAACACTATACAGTACATGGAACATTAAAGACCTGGCTTAATTACCTTTAGTTTGAGGCGATTTCGCGTTCTAACCGGCTAACCCTATATCCTGACATTAATGGCCATAAATGAATGATAAACGGGTTTCGGATAGACACTTAACTTGTATTTGTAGACAGCGTGTTGACAATGGTACACCTTTGGGTTCCATAACACTACGTCCAAGTAAATTTAACAGGAGCCGAATTTGCTCCCGTGTGAGCCTCTGGTCTCATATAAACAACAATGGCTGCCCTCCTCCTCACTCTGACGCCTGGCTTACATTGTCCACATTTCAGAAAGTGATAGAAGGGTCACAT